TCTAGAGTCCTTGCTAGCCAGCCTGCCTTGGCTGGTCTTCAGGAGGCCTGTAGCCCTTGAGGGAGCTGGGAATATCCATGGCTGCCCTATGAATAGGGTTTTAGAACACAGATGCTGCCACTTCTTCCTCTCCAAGGTCCCAGCCCTATTGTTCTTGACTCCTTTGCTTAATTCCCCGCACCCTGCCTTTGCAATTTTATAGATGAAGAGACAGGCTGGGGGAGGGAGTTGAGGGGCAGATTAAGGCCCAAAATTATACTGTAAATAGCCACAAGCTAGGGACCAGGCCCCAAGTCTGTTGTCTTCCAATTTTGTCCTCTTAGTGGCCCTGATAATGAGGTAGGGAGTTGGGCTGATGAGACATCATAGTGGGTTTCAGGCAAGGAGAACCAATTCTCTCTCTTTTCTCTCTCGCTCTCTCACGCACACACACCAGTGTTTATTCAAAACAGTTAAAACTAGGGCAGATGCAGCTATGCAAGATAAGCTAGTCACCCCTGAAAAGAGGGAGCTTTCATTTCCCTGCTTGTGTCCCTAGGAGATCCCACAGAATACTTCTGGTTTTATGACCACGCCCATGGCAGTGGTCAGAGTGGCCTTCTTCCTCCCACTCACACCTCCCTTCCTACCCTGCCCCTTTGCCTTTTCCCAGATGCTGTGGAAAGAACCCTGAACTTGGTTCTAACTTGCTTTGTGACCTCAGGCTGCTTTCTGTCTCTCTCTGGGCTTGCAACATGGTTCCCTGACTCAGGGCCAGTTGCCTGAGTTTGCTACTTAAAAGTCTTGGATCTTATGATCTGAAGAGAACTGAGCCAGAACCTGGTCCCAGAGCAAAGTTGTTGCCTGGGGAGGGCTGCTGTGCACTGGAGCTGTACCTTGTCAGATGAAATAGAGCAGGAGAGCATGAAGTTAACCCTAGAGGACCCCTGGGCAGAGTAGGCAGGGCCCGAGGGGAAACAGCTGCTCACTGCCCTTGCCTGGAGGCCTCTCAGCACTCTGGGTGTTCCCAAGGTTCTGAGATGAAACAGGGGATCTTCCTAAGTGCTGAGATGTCCTCTGCTAGGGACATGCCTTTCTTAGGTTCTTGAGGTACTTCCCTCTCATTGGATACCTGTTACCCTTTGGCTGCCCCTCCAGGGAGGTGGGGAAGGGTCCCAACATTTAGGACTTTTGACTGCAATTAGTTCCAGCTCCATTTTGCAATGTTGGCGGCTCAGTTTCCCTTCTTTGAAACCAGGCCTGCCTCCAACCTTAGCTGACTGAAGGGCGGGCCTCTCTGCTTCTTGACTTCCTGTTTGTGAGTGGTTAGGTCCTGTGGCTTCTCTCTTGTTGTCTCTTCACAAGTCAGGTTATCTGGGCTGCCATCTCCTGCCTGCTAAGTGAGGGCCCCAGGCCCATGCAGCTGGAGAGGAAGTCTTGGCTTTCTTCTTATTTCTCTTTCTGGGCCTGCTCTTATTATAGGATTATTCTTTAAAAAGACCATTTTTCTCCATGTTTCCTCTTTGCCCAGTCTCTGCTTGTAAACCCTCTTCCACCTATACTCAGTTCCTTTTCTGATGGGCCCCCTGTGACTCTGAGTTTGCCACTGCAATATTCAAACTGCCCAACTCCCTGGGCCGTGTGAACCCCTTGCTGGACTACTGACTGTACTTGCTATAATGTAAAAAGTAGGTGTGTGTAATGTTCATATACGAATAAACAACCTGTGAAACTCCACATCATGTACAGCCACAAGAATGGATTCTAATTAGAATAAGTTATATTCCATGAGTATATGTCAAAATACACTCTACTGTCATATATAAAAGAATAAAATAAAATATTTTCAATAAAGAAGTAGGTGTGTGTAGAGGTATATATGTGTGTTCTACTTCACCACCTAAGATTCAAGCGTTCACTACATTTAGGAGCCAAGTGTCTCCGTCAGACCCAATGCTCAATCCCTGCTCTGGGCACAAACTGTTCACACCAACACTCAAAACTCCCCTATGTGGTCTATCAAACTGGGAACACTTGATGACAGGTCCTGCGACTTTTTCTCCTCAGACTCAGCTTTACCTGCCATAGTCTCAGCTTGGCACACAAAGATGGTTGCCCCCAGAGTCAGTGTGGAGGGGATGGGAATGAAGGATTATGACCTCACAGCCCTTCAGGATCCCAAGATCATATCCCAGTGGCCTCATCCCTCTCAGCTGAGAAAGGGCTATTCCCCCAACCCAATTCCTCTAAGCAGGAATCTGATCCCTGGAATAAGAATGTCGGAATCAGAAAAAACCCTGGTGGACATTTTTATAACAGAATCCAAGGGAGCGGAAATTGCCCAGTAAATGTGTGGCCCAGCCCTGACCTACTGCCAAGGGGGTGGAGTTTGGAGTATCAACTTGAACTCTCCCCTCTACCAAGTCAGACATCAAGACCTCCTCTTTCAGCCACAGGCCACCATCAAGGGTTTAGTTTCTCTCATCCTATGCGACTCAGGCAACAGGTGTCTTTAGGGGGTGGGAAGGGGAGTTAGGCCTCTCCCACAGAGGACCTATCTTCTCAACCCACCCCAACTCTTTCCAGTCACCCTACAAAGCACTGGTCCCGGAGTCCCAAGAAAGGCTTCTTGTGTCTTTCTGGGAAGCGGCCAGTGTGTTCAGGAGTGTGCAGTTGGCCTCTCTCTAGGTGTGTCTGTAGGCCTGAGCTGGCCGTGTCGACAGGGTTTCTGTGGCCCTGGGCCTGCTGTGTCTCTGAAAAGAAGACTGAATCTTTGGGGCTTTTCAGGCAATGTGTTTGTGGGTGTGTGTGACCACACAGGCACCTGCTGGTCAGTCACACAGGCTACACATGTTGGGGCTGGGTTGGGTCAGCTGAGAGCAGAGCTTCCAGGCCAGTATCCTGGACCACTTCACACACTGTACACTCACTCTTCCAACACTTCTTAGTGTCTCTGTTTCCTTATCTCAGACTCTGCCCCTTCCCCTGTCCTTGATTTTGATTCTGGTCCTGTCCCATTTCTTCTGGTTTGAGGCCCAGCAGATCTAGCAGTCACTTCAGGATGGAGAAAACCAGGGTGCAGGAAGCCTGAGCCCCTCCTCAATTTCATCCTTCATCAGCCCCAACTCAGGATAGGAACCAGGGCAAACCCCAGCCTCTCCAGAAACCTCCTGACCCCAGAAGCTCTGTGGACAGAGAGGCTGGGCTCTGGCCTCTCCCCTTAAAACAAATACAAAATACCAAGGAAAAGTAGCTTCTTGTTACAAGGGAGCAGCCATCAGGGACACCCACACCCTGCTCAGGGCAGGGGAGGAGCTGGTTTGGATACTGTTAGAGTAATGAGTGTGTCCCTTGGAACACTGAGGGGATCCAGCGCCCAGCTGGGCCCAGAAGACAGGCCCCCTGCCTCCCATTCTATATAGCTCCTTTTCCAAGACAGGATGCCTTTGAAGTTATGGCTATGGGGGTGCTTTAAGCAGGGATGGGAACAAGATGCTTCAGGAGGAGGGCTTGAAGAATTGAGGTCCAAGAACCCAGGTTGCTGCAGGACTTTGATATTCTTATCCTCTTATCGCCTGGGGCAGTCACTTCCCCTCCACCCAGGTCTGAGGCAACGGTGGTCTCTTAAAGGAGCAGTGTCTATTTCTGGCCAGTTACCCCACAAGGCCTCCTCATCACTTTTTCTTTAGACCCTGGCAGAAGGGCCCTATTTCACCTTTCTCTGTTCCGTTGTGGGAGGCTGGAAATGGATAGCAATTTTCCAGTTCAAAGGTCCCCCGTACTGCAAGGAAGGATGTGGGGCAATTTCCCTCTCCCTGAAGCCCTAGACCAACATTATTCTGGGCCCTGAAGTCTATGTGGGCCTGTTCCTGGATGGTGGAGCTAGAGAAGAGGCCCATGGCCTTCTGGGAAGGAGTCAGTGATGGTTGGTACACACTCCTATCTTTTCTACTTTCCTTCATATGCATTCCTCTTGATTCCAGAACCAAGCCCACTGAGGGGTTTTGACAACTCTGGGGAAAACATATGGCCCCAACTCAACTACCCCAGTTTTCCTCCCCCCAAACTCACACCCTGCTACCTTCCCCCAGCCAGGGGCCCTGGGCTGGGCAGCTTCCTGTCTTCCCCATGGGGAAAGCAGGGGTGACATGCAGGTGGGCGGGCCACCATGCCCACATCCGGTGGCCTCCAAAACCTCTCCTTGGAGCCTTTTTTCTCTCCTTTCCTCCAATCCCCCCTTTTCTCCTGTCCCTACGGCCCCTATGCCCTACCCAAGGGCCCTGGTCCTCACCAATGTTCTGCCCTGCCCTGAGGGACATAGGAACACACAACCCAGTGCCAACAGGCCCATCTAGCCTGAATGTGACCCCCATGTTGTGCTGAGGGGACAGGCCTAGTCTGCAGACAGGAACTAGGGAATGGGTATAGTTCTGGAGGATGCTGAGGACAATTGACTCCAAGGAGGGTTTTGGGGTGTTCTGGCCTGGGCCTCTAGCTCTGTGACATGCATCTGTAACTCCATAGCCTCACTGGGGAGCACATAGAGAGGAGCCATGGTGTGGTCTGAATTCTGACAGAGAAGAGAGTTTTCTGGACTGAAGTCAGTGGGGGTGGGGCTCAGACAGAATGTCCTTTTCTTGTGCTAGAATTCAGTACTTGTTTTGGGCACTCACGGAAGGCTCTGTCAGGGAGAACTTGTCTTCTAAGGTCACCTCCTATGCCCTGAGTCAGTCCTAGACTCTTGAACATCCCTTGGAGCTGGTGCCATGGGGGAAGGGCAGGCCTGGGATCCCAGAAGCCACCTGCCCAGGGCATGTAAGATGGTCGCTTCAGGCCCCCTCCCGCCAATACCCAGCTTTGTCTCTGGTTTCCTGTCAGTCTGTCCTCCCCAGGGAGGGGAGGGGTGGCTAATCTCCACTGCGGTGTGGGGGCGGGCTCCAAGACCGTTGGGCGCCCTGAGATCTGACCCACGTGGCCTTGCGTTTATAAGCCCTGCCCGCCCTGAAGGGAACCCCACTTCGGAGCCTGGAGCACAGGGCTTGCTCCCCTCAGCATTGCAGCACCAGGTAAGGACTTGAACCTTCACTTTAGCCTCAAGCAGGGCTCCTTCACTCTGGGCCTCAGGGGGCCATGGGGGGGCTTGAGATGCAAGCTCTGGGTAGAGATGCTCAGGGTGGGGAGGTCAGGAACTTGAGTGCCAAGGCTTCCTGGCAAAGCTCTAGGCAAAGAGGTGCAATAACTGTCCAACTCACCTGGCTTCATGAGGGGACAGTTCCTTAACATCCTTTTAAACCTCTACTAGAAGTAGGATTAAAGGGTAAAATGGGGTGGGTGCAGTGACGCATGCCTGTAATCCCAGAGGCTCAGGAGGCTGAGACAGGAGGATCCCTAGTTCAAAGCCAGCCTCAGAATTTTATCGAGGTTTTAAGCAATTTAACAAAATCCTGCCTCACAATAAAAAATAAAAAGGGCTGGGGATGTGGCTCAGTGGTTAAGGGCTCGTGGATTCAATCCCTGGTACTAGGGGGGAAGAATGTAAAATGGCTCCTCGTCCCCAGATGAAAGAGTAGTCCAAGGCTCTGAGGAAAGAGGGCTGAAGAGTAGGGTGGGGATGGCAGAGTGTGGGCAAAGGCCCAAAAGCAGGACCAGTGCCAGCAACAGGCGCTAAGCCCCTTCCTCCACCCGACTTGGCCACCATTTCTGTTGATATACTCTTAGGCTCCTGCCTGGGGAGCAGCTGGCAGTGAGGGAGTCAGGGCCTTGGGCTAGTGGGGAGGCTGGGGCCAGAGGCCTTGGAGGGGAGGAGGCTGGGGGTGCCTCAATTGAACTCTGGACAGTGGGTAGTGTGGCTGGGAGGGGCCAGCCGGGGGTTGCATAATTGGAGATAAGTGTGAGACCCCTGAAGTAGCCAGGGTCTCTACCTGAATGCCCCTGAGAGTGGGGGTGGTGGTGGGGTGGAGCCCTAGGGAGAAGGGAAGAGGGAACCAAAGAGGAAGTGGGGGGAGGGAGGTAGAGGAGGCAAGTATGGCGCCATGCTGAGTCACGGCCCACACGGCCCTGGGCCCGCCCTTTGGGGGCCATGGGCGGGTGGAGGGGTCTTAGGAAGCTCCTGGGAGGGCTGGGGGATCTTGAAGCAGGAATCAGAAGGAGAAGCGGGTGGCCTGAAGATCACACGCAGACGAACAGACAGACAGTGCAGTCACCCATAAAGTAGAAAGCACTACTAACAGCACTGGAGGGTGTAGTGTTTCCTACTTTATGGATGAGTGTACTGTGGGCTTCGGAGACCACGCCACGCGGCCGCCACCCGCCACCGTCTTCCTCTACTTCAGGACCCTGAGACAGGTGAGCACCTCATTATCCTCCCCCACCCTGCCCAGACTTCTGGAAGGCCTCCACTTCGCCCCCACAAGTGCTGCCCTTCCTGGTCCTGGACAACTGGAAACATAATACATCAGGTCCTCTGCTATGCTGAAGTCCTGGAGGGTGTGGGGAAGGCTGGACATGTGGGCCCTGGTGCAGCAGCCGCAAGATGGAGGGAAATGTGTGGGGTGCCAGGGGCCCTGATGCTAATAAAGTATGGACTCTGCTTTTCTTTTGTCTGAGACTCTGTTGCTGGGCAAAGGGGTGGTGGGGTGCTGAGTGGAGTAGCAGGCACATGGACAATGTGGGTGCACAGAAGGCTGGGAAGGGAGTCCCTCTCACTTGCCTGAGAGAGAGAAAGAAGGTTTGTCCCTGACCACAAGATCAAGAGAGGATTCCAGGCCTGGCCAGGCTACAGTGGGGGTGGGTTGGGGAGGCCTGGGCCACTGAGCAAGGACATCCTGACAATCTGAAGAGGGGCACCACATGAAGGGGCAGAGCTATGAGGGGTTCTTCCATCTTTGATCCTAGCTCTAGCCCTGCCCCCACCTTGCTCACTATACCCCAAACAGAAGGCTGCTTGCTTCTGGTTTTAATCCAAATCTAGAGGTCCTTGGTAGTATAAGAGTTAGACAAAAACACTATGGCACACATCTATAAGATGATGTGTGCACAGCATCTAATCGATAGACAAGGGCACAGAGACTAATATGCAAAGCATACATACACGTGCATGTGCATTGACATAGAGGTGCCATGCATATATGCTAACAAAACACATAGGCAATTATATATAGATACATGTGACATAGCTGGCATATCACACAATGACACATAGATATACATTCAGCCAGGACACACACATATTCAGTAACACATATAAAACATGAAAATACACATATAGTAACATTCACATACACATAATGACATTTTTCATACATGGTGATATATAGAAATATATAGATATACTATGGCACACTGCGCACAGCATCTTATAGATAGACAAGGGCGCAGATACTAATACACAAAGCATACATACACATGTGCATTTGCAATTACATAGAGGTCCCATGTATATATGCCAACAAAACACATGTGCAGCTTCTTATAGACCTCCAACTGCAAGTATGTGTATATGTATACATATATTACACATGTATGTATATATATTACAGATATATACCTATATACATATATGCAATTGGCCCTGTGTGGGTTTCATATTCAAGGATTCAATCAGTATTGGATTGAAAATATTTTTTTAAAAATTGTGTCTGTAATGACCATGACTTTTTCTTGTCAGTATTCTCTTAGTAATATAGTATAACAGCTATGTACCTCACATTTACATTATATTATGTATTATTAGTAACTTAGAGATGATTTAAAGTTTACAGGAGGGGCTAGGAATGTAGCTTAGTGGTAATTTCCTAGCATGCACAAGGTCCTGAGTTAGATCCCCAACGCCACAAAACAAAACAAAACAAAAAAGGAAAAAAAAGTATATGGTAATATGAGTGTAGTTTATGTACAAGCACTACACCATTTTATAGAAGAGACATGTACACCATTTTATATAAGAGACTTGAGTGTCTGAATTATGGTATCCTGGGAGGTGGGTCTTGGAACCAATCCCCACTAGATACAGAGGGATGATTATATGTATAACCATATCATCAAATACACATGTCGTTGTATGTCATTATGCATATTTACATGTCTATATGTGTGCCATTATATGTTGTTAATGCCATATAATGACATCCATATACATATATCCTGATTCAGGTGTTGCAATTTATAAACTCACACGAGGATGTCCTCACACACACATAATAGGATATGCACAGACACTGGCAAATAGATAGACGCAAATAGACATAAGTACACACCAATGAGATTCATAGACAATGGTACAATGTCCCTCAAGTACAGATAAATAAATGTATGTTTATGTTATATGTGCATGGACACAATCACTATGTGCATGTGTACATTCACTGTCCTAAACAGCGGCAACACTCATCTTGTAGTGGCATGCATACTGTTCTACACACTGCTTTAGGGAAGTAAAGATGTCACCTCCTCTCCATGTACTCCCTCCCCTTAGTTCCATTAGCTCTGGCCTGGGTGGAGCCCACTGTCAGGGGCTCTGTGGTTTAGTGCTACTGCTGCTATTCCACAGGGGTGCCACACGAGGGCCCCCAACCTTGGCTGAGACTAGCTTGTCTGCTAAGACCCAGGTTCAGAGGAGAGAGGGGCTGCCTCTCCAAGTCCTCTTCAAGTATCTTTGTTTCTAGGAACTCTATCTAGTCCCATATCCCATGGGCTGACTCCTGGGTCAGGGGGTTTCCCAGATCCTTGTTCTCAAAAGCCATTTTCTTATAGCAAAAGAGCCTAAGGCTGGGGGGGGGGGCGGGGGAGGGAAGAAGAAGAACTTCCTGACAATTCAGGGCAAAAGCAGCCCAACAGGTCATGAGGTCTCCCCCTGCTGGCCTGGGACAGGTAGGTTGGTCTCCAAATGTGGTCTGCCAGAAGGAAGCTGAAGCAATTTTCTCAGCTGATTTCTACCTCTCTGCTTCTATCTTCCCGTTTTTATCCTTTTATTTCTCTTTGTTTTCTTCAAATCCCGGGTTTCCTGGTCCTGCTCTTCTCCATGGTTGGATCTGTTACATCCTTCCTGTCTCCGTCTCCACCAGTCTCAGCAGTCTCCAGCCTGCTTGCCTCTGGACCCAGGAAGGTGTGAGGGCACATGGGGACAAGGGGTGGGGAGGCCACAAGTGGAGGGCGCTGAGCTGACATCCCGTGAGGAACCTGCTCTTCCCTCTATCCCGACCCTGCCAGCCGGTCCAGCCCACCAGTCCAGCGCCATCGCCATGGAAACCAGCAGCTGACTTCCTATTGGTGGGCGGGAGGAGAGGAGGAGGGGGAGGGGTGGGCAGGCTCTCCCCCGCTCCCCCTCATTCTGAGGCTCAGCCTTCCTCCGCGCCCACCATCTCCGGGCTCCGGGACTGTAAGGGACCCCTGCAGTCCCCCGAGCTGAGGCTAGCAGGGACAGAGACTATGAGGCAAGCAGCCCATCGACCCAGGCCTCCTTAGGACCAGCCCGGCCACCCAGCAAGCGAGTGAGCAGCAGCCGAGAGAGGAGCGGAGATAAAAGACCACAAGGAACCACTGGGGATCACCCCCAACAGCTCCTGAGGACCCTAGCCAGGCTGAGGGGTCATGATGGATGACCAGACTCACAGATGCTGACAGACACACACCGATATCGATGCACACAGCTGCACAAAACTGACACACTCAGATACAACCAGTGACAGCATCACACATTGCCACAGCCCTGCAATACAGACACCCCCACACGCAGAAACAACTGGCAACTCTGTAACAGGCACAGACAGTGACATACAGCACCACACTCTTCAACACACACAAGTGGGGGCACCCATCCTCCAAACACACACACGATAGCATTGACCTGCAGGGGACAGACCTGGAGACACACACGCATACCCTCACCCAGGCACTGCTGGTGGTGGCCTCGGCACATCCTCCCACCCCCACAGGGACACCCTCCCCTCCCCATATACACGAGCACTCACACACAACCACCAGCCAACATACCCCCAGCTCCAGCTCTGGCAGCCCTGACGCCTTCTGCAGCCTCCTTTGCGGGTGGGGAAGGGCTCAGCCAACCTTGGATGGAGCTTCGGTGAAGCCAAGAGCTCAGAGGGGAAGGGTCTAGCTTGGCATGACCATTGAAAGTCCCCTCACCTGGCTGGGTGATGTTCCCTGGCCTAGGTTCTGGGGTTCCTTGGCAGTACCATGGAGCAACTGACAACCCTCCCTCAGCCTGGGGACCCAGGAGCCATGGAACCCTGGGCACTGCCCGCCTGGCAGAGCTGGACTCCGGGCCAGGGGGGCGAACCTGGAGACAGAGCCCCAAGCATTGCTGACACTCCGACAGCTTTGCAGGTTGGAGAACTGAGGCCCAAGGAGAGCTGCGAGCCTGAGGGAGCCCAGAGCCCCAGGCCCATGGGGGGCATTGACCCTGGAGGAGCAGAGGCTGGGCTGCCCAGCCTGGGGCAGCAAGCAGTGATCTCTGGTCGTGGTTGTCTGAGGCTGAAGGATGAGGATGTGGAGGCTTTGACTAAGGTAAGGGGGCTGGGGAGGGCTGGGGGGTCTGCAAGCTGTGCCTCCCCCATGTCCTTTAGCTGGCCAGGAGGCAAAGCAAAATATGCAACCCTGCTGCCCACCTCTTTTCTCCGTCTGTTTGTCTGAGGTTCTGCCTCTGTGACTATCTGTCCTCTCTTCATTAGGTATGAATCTCAGTGGCTCCATTTTTTTTTTTAACTATTTGTCCTCTCTACCTGTCTGTCTATATCTGGCCCTGCCCCTCTGTGTCTCTGTCTGACAGTCTGTCTGTCTGTACCTCCTCCTCCATGAGTCTCTGTTCTCAGGGGACTGGGGGATTTGGGGGGTGTGAACGTGTATGGTAGAATCAGAGTACAAGGAAAGATTCAGGGAGAAGGCTCAGTGTGGGGCCAAGCCACAGAAGACAAGGTCTGGGTGAATGCGAGCAGGCTCCTGTAGAAGATGGAGGGATCAGGACTTTGGGAGAGGACAGGGGACTCACCAACCAAGAGCAGTCTGGAGAAATGGGGGTAGAAGTTTGAGCTGGCACTGGCCCGGAGGGGTCAGGGGACAGTTGTGTGCCACCAGGAGCAGGGAGGGTGGGATGGTCCCTTCTCCTAGATCCCTGTGCCCTTCTCTGAAGGCCTGGGACATAGGAGAGAACCTTCTCATCTCCATGTCTCCTTGGACTGTGGAGGGGAGATGCTTTCACATGGAGAGCTCTTATTGGATGGGATGGGTCCCTGAGGCTCTGTACCTGGTCCTTTCCCATGCCAGGCCAAGCTGAACATGGGCTTTGGTGACAGACCCAATCTGGAGCTGCTGAGGGCCCTGGGTGAGCTGCAGCAGCGCTGTGCCATCCTTAAGGAGGAAAACCAGATGCTGGTGAGACTCGGTGAATGGGGTCTTGATTCCTGGCTGGAGCCAGGCCCTCTGTCTCAGTGTCTTCCCTTACCCCTTGAACATCTCTCCAAGAGATGTCACAGTCCCAAGACCCAGAGAGGGTGAACCCTTGCCCAGAGTTGCTAGGGATCCCACTGTGGTCCTGGGTTCTAGTCCCAGCCTGAGAGTAGGAATGGGTCTGTGGGGTGCTC